TTCCAGCCCTGTATTATAAGGGGATCGAACGAGCCTAACCACTGTGGGTCGAACAAATTGTTCTGGACCCAAAGAAAAACTTGGTGGGAACTCTGTGAATTAGGCAGTCCCCCCCGTTATATAACCGGTATCATAGTAGTAGGGTAGCCCACATGGTAAACACGATACTCGCCTGACAAAAATGACGCCCCAATCCACCTAGTTGTACTACTGGAGTCTGTCCCCGGAATTCCTCGCAAATGTCTATGCGTCATATTGTCGTACTTTCTGCACACCAAGACTCTCATTAATTCACTTCTTCGTGCCAAAACTTACTCCGAATTCAGAGGCCCCTACATACGCCCAAATGCATGACGACCACTGATTTCTTTTCCCCTAACCTCTCAGTTAGGCGTCTCGACTGATATGCTCCACCATTCAGACCAGTAGTTTCAGTGCTATACTTTGTGCTTATCGTGCATAAAAGTCACTGACTGCTGTCTCACCATAGTTTATTACTGAAAAGACATAATTTTTTGTGCAAATACTCTTAAATCTACGTCTGATTCCCCTTTCTTTGGTTATTCTGTTCATATCTTGTTTCTCATTGACTGCAGTACGGGATAAGTTGTTCCACACCCATGTTTCGTTTTCTTCCTCATAGGCAGATTCACAATGAGACCGCTGCATACTGGTTACCGGTCCATACCATGATTTAGATCTAGTTATAAGTGCTCTCAGTAAGCAGCAAAATTTATTGATTATTTGCATTTTTCAGCCTTACTTATGCTTGGCATTTGATATTCTGTGTACGCTCACTGATTATGTGACTCAATAACTGAAGTGTAGAGGCCTAATCGCAGTTGCCTAGTTAAAGCCCATACTGGGTGATAATGCCTGTGTTATTATTCACCATAGTTAGATGGCGAAAGTGTTAGTATCTAATGTTTTTAGCCAGCAGCAGTTGAATAACTGCATCCTGGCAGACTATGTAGGGTGTAGCGACGTATTCTTTCTAACTTTTCTCAGCCTCACCATTCAGATATAGCCTGTAAAAGCGGCATGTGTTCAGATAATTTATCGTTCAAAAAATATTATTATTATCATAAGTGGGGGAGTTTCTGGCAAATGGTATATATCTGTTCCCAAAGTACTGACTAGGATTATTATGATGCACAACTGAACAGTGTTTGGGTGTTTGTGATATGCAGGACAATAGAGTGTTCGGTACGCTACTCGGCACCACGTTATGACCCCTGTGATTAAAGGGACGTGGTTCGAAGGAGTGTCTCGTGCGATGCAACCTCGAGTTGTCATGGTATTCATTTCTGAAAGAAGGGGTTTGACGGAAAACCAGCTTTTTGGGCTTGTGGATTGCCAACTTCTTAGCTATGAAGCATTCTTCTGAGTCATTGGAAAGCATGCGCCCGAGATGGTTCTCCTTCAAGAACGTTTTGGCTTTATATGGTGAGGTTTCGCCTGCACTTCTGAGTTTTATGTCGCCCAGCGGGCTTTTATCTATGGTGGCCTAAGGGTGGACGGTACAAACAATTTCGTTTTCACGAGCAACTGAAGGGTCAGGTTCACTTTTAGCTAGATTTGATTGGGACTAGTACCGAGGAGGAGGTATATTCATCAGAATTACTTGCCGCGCCAACACTTTCTGATGCTTTGTTCGTGCACACGGCGGCCTCTGTGTTTAAAGGTGATGAGCCGGTCAGATTACTTCTTCTTTGTTCTCTGCGCTGGGACGGGGTTTCCTCTTGTTTAGTAACAATATTTTTAAAGTTGCTATGTAACCTTATGTGGTCTCCTAGTTCAATAAATCTTTTGGCGTCAAATGGAGCAGTGAACCTGAAAATCATGGGGCAACTGGACGGGCTGACTCTTTGCAGAGGCGCTTAGTCTCAGTGTGTTCCTGTCACACTGTATGAGTTTAATACCTTTTGTCTTAACTATATCCACGGGTAGGGTATCAGGTATGTTCTAAACGATGGCCTGTTGAGACGACGAAAGTCTCTTCATCACCTCCGTTGCCAAATGGTCTATTAAGTTTTCTGCTTTCTCCACATGGTCTTCAAATAAATTTTCACGCTTCCCGAGGAGATGTGCTAATGGATGGAAATCCGCGACTGTTTTCCGGATCTCTTCCACCATGGTCTTAATGTTATCGATTTCTTTCCTGTGGTCGTTAAAATGGTTACTCATAACTGATATGACGTCTTCAGTTCTGACGAAAAACGTGGGGCATACCAGTTCATCGAGATCTGAGGCATGCGGAGTAGCAATGCCTCTGTCACGCAGAAGAGCACTGGGATGACCAAATCTTTGCTTTTTCTAGCTACAGCAGTCAATTTTAGAACGCGTAGCTTTGGGTCGTCCCATTTAAAAGGACTTTAAAATCGAAATAGAAAAACAGCAAGCGGCTGTAGTTGGTGTGCCGAAACGCTGGTAACACTGTATCCGAGGTGAACAGTCGGGCCACAAACCAAAGATATGGGATGAATGGAAATGTTACCGTCAGTACGTAATAATTAGTAGTCAGACACAACAAGAAATTTCCAAATTGATATAATCAAGAGCCGCGTGAAAAAACGCATCGTTTCAACTTTACCGCATATAAGACTGGACAATATTAAGCCGGTTGCTCTTCAGTGACCACTCGACTTACCTAGGCCGGCCCCACAGCAGGTCGGTCGCGGCCCGAATACCTCAGTTTTAACGTCTCTGGCTGTAGTGCTTGGCGGAGTTAGTTTGAACCGCCCCGGGGGACATCAGTTTCACCGGGGTTGCAGATGCGCCCTGATAACGAATGCCGGTAGAGCAAACCTTGGATCCAGGGCTTCCTACTGGTTGCCTGCATCCAAGCTAACAGGTCAGGCTTCACACTCCCAGCTTCACCACTTGAAACCATAGGCTCCACAAAGACAGTGCGTCTCCTTTATTGATATTAAAACAAAGTTTGGACCGCCCGTGTTTCTTAACAGAGAGATAAAACGAGAAACTTTATGACGAACCTGCCGAAAAGTCGGTCATTTAACCCGCATTGGACACTAGTAACGGAACAGAGAAATTCGCTATCCCATTAAACGTCGATACATCGATAAACTGATTATCTTCAGAGGGGCGATTGCTCAGTAACCAAACAAGACTAGATTATCGCCAGATGCTGAGGCTTCCCACTGTGCCTAGGATACTTTGTCGTCGTTCCGAAGGCGGCGGGGCTGTCAGAAACAGGAGGGTTCGGCTAAATTTTCGTGAGCCCATCTAAAAACGCTAACGGTGTCCTTCACGTAAGTCTCATATTTTCAGTACTTGGGAAAAACATAATGGGAGGTGCGATACAGCTGGGCGGAGTAAACCGAAAACCACCAGTTAATTGGGTGAGTGACCATCAAGGCCCCTTTAAGACACTGATTGTCACACTTGTGCAGATCAATGGGCCAAGAATCTCAGGGCCCGTAAGCTTTGCCACCACAGTCCCACAAAGTGAGGCGGAAACTTCGAGAAAAGGAGTAGCACCAGTCCTCACGCGACTGTAAGTTGAGTGAAACAAATAGAAATTGAAATCCGGTTTTGGGTCTCCTAAATCAGCCGTTCGAACACCTGGCCAGCAATCTGGAGGCACCTAGTCCAAATCCTGCTGTGAAACAGGTTATCATTGAACTTTCGATCATCACTCTGGGTTTCACACTTCACTACCAGAAGTCTGGCAGCTTCTGTATTAGAAGAGTACGACTACTACTCATGTTCTCAAGGATGATGGGAAACTGTTGCTTAAATACTGTCCATTCAAGGATCCGTTACGTCGGGAGAGATCGATCATTTCGATTTAGCGTGAAAATCAGCAGCAACTCACAAGCATCAGTGAATACCAAGCAGTTGGTTTCACAGGGATTCTTGTCAGGGTAATAGCAGTTCCACAGGGAAAGCTATTAGGTTGTGTAGGAGCACATGACGTGTTGACACTTAAGCGCCATGGCTTCAAAGGAGAATGGCACTGTTCAGTGAACTTACCAAAAGTGACGGGGGAATGGATGAAAGTTAGGTACAGCGCGCTCCTCGTGGATGTGTTATCTGTTGACTAAGACACGGAATCCCAAACGGAGCTAATAGACAGGCCTGCTAGATTGGATGTTGATAGTATGGTTTGTGTACAGAGTGGGGAACATCTACACAAGAAGGGGCGGAGGATCGGGGCAAACGTAAAGTGTTTTGGGTGGGAGCCCCTTAACCTGTGGTGTCCCTAAAAGCACTATTGTAGGAACTAGCCTTCTCGCGCCAAGGCTGTTTTTCTGGCTGTCTGCGGATGACGTGAGGACCAGAAGTGATGATATGATTATGATGACAATGGTGGGCCCGCACTTCAAACTAACCCTGGTGAATTCACCGAATCGTCCAAGCGAAGGAGACAGGGATTCAGTCCCAGCAGGACATGGAGTGGACGCTGTGTAGAAGTACTCCGGCGACTGTTTCATGAGTGGAACGCCCTTACTTCTTGTATTTGGAACCTCCGTTTGTCCAGAAAATTTACTGAAGTTTGGTATGAATACCTTGCAGCTATCCTATAAAAGTACTAAAAACAGTGGTCGGACCATTTCCCAATGAAGTAACGGTTCTCCACCATAGTGATAAACGATAGGAACTATTCAAGGGAAGAATGGACGGCAACTCTCCTGATGAATACGTTCAAGCCGAAACCAGACACTCAAACGGGTAACCACTGAAAGAGTTGGTATTCGTTATAACCCTTTTATTCTCCCCACAGGCTTGGAGAAATTCGCTGGTTTGCTGCAGCTAGTGACACAAATAGTAATTATACCGTGCATAGTAAAAAAAAATTAACCACATTCATGTGGGTTGTAAACCATCACAAAATTTAGCTATCTACATGTTAAAATACAATTTATCTGTAGAGTTCGAGTATTGAGTGTGAAAATGTGTTTAACTGTTTACATATCCTGCGTCACTTGAGCGGGTTTCGGTTGCAGTGAGATTGGTAGACGTTTGGCGTCAGCAAGATGGTGAGTTATTTTATGGTGATATTAAGTGAGCACATCTCTGTAGGCAACAGGTTGAAATGATTCCCGCCTTCTCTTCATCTACAGACTGGCGGGAGTTGTAGCATTTATCAAGCTTAAACGTTTGTAGAGGAAACCACAGCTTTTGGTTGTACGAAATGTAATAAAACAACTTCCTCAACAGTAGGAATGATGTAAATCCAACGGTGTTTAGTGAATTTTCAGCACATCTATAGTATGCAGCGACCATGTGTGACCAACTAGACCCTGGTTTGTTATCACAGAAAGGATGTCGACCCGAGTGTATTGTGATAGCATGAGGCTACCCTCCTGTAGCTGAAGGCTCGGATGTTTTAGTGGCGGGTCATATGGTGGTTTGACCGTATAAACTGGACTGGTGGGCTTCAGGTTTCGTCAGAGATACGGAATTCCCTACTGTGGAGATACGCATGGTTGACAGATCGAAGCACGAGTTGTGTATGTTCCAACAGGCAACTCTTAGAAGTGCTTCCTGCATACTGGGATATTCTGCAGTATATATCTTTATCCCTAATTTATTCTGAGTTTCTTGGTTATCCGAAACTTCAACACAGCTTATTGTACTTTTATTTCTTTCATCGTAGCTCTGTGTAGATGGCCTTCCTGCTGACTTTCATTGGCTAGATACACTTTTCTGAACTGGAACTTTTTGACTGCGCCTAATTCCTAGATGGGGACTCCAGTATACAAGTGTTTGAGTTTACGCTATATATTGTCTTTACGAGCCCGGGTAATTAGTATGTATGAGTGCAGTTGGGGATATGTGACCACGGTGAGATGTCATTTAAGAAGCCTACTTATCAGAAGAGGCATTAGGGATTTGCAGGGAAAACTAATGGAGGGTTAAGGTTAACCAAAAAGCCGTCGCAATTCAAATTGACGTAATACTTAGAGTCTTAAAGATCTCAACCAGGTATTTGAGGATCGTGAAAGTGGTGACTTGCATTATCAGGGACCTTCTTTTCTGCTGCAAGACATGGGTTTAGAAATATTTTGTAGACGTAGTTGGCAGAACGTTTCTTGGTTTGAATTCCTGGTCTGCTTTTGCTTCTGATGCCAGTGCGAATGCAGTATCTTGTGAAGCATTTGTATTAATATTGAACTGACTTTTCTTCACGGTTATTAATCATACTACATTTTCATTCGAATGTACTTCCTTTTACAGGTTAAATTTACGGTAGATGAGTTGCGTCGAATGATGGATTGTAAGCGGAACATCCGCAATATGTCTGTTATAGCGCACGTAGATCATGGAAAATCGACCTTAACTGACTCACTTGTATGTAAAGCTGGTATCATAGCTGATTCGCGTGCTGGTGATGCTCGGTTCACTGACACGCGGAAAGATGAACAAGAACGGTGTATTACAATCAAGTCGACGGCTATCAGTTTATATTACGAAATGTCGGAGGAAGACATACAGTGTGTAAAAGCGGTCCAACCACTAGCTGTTAACGCCGAAGGGAAGGAAGAGAAAGGATTTTTGATAAATCTTATAGACTCACCGGGACACGTAGATTTTTCTTCGGAAGTCACTGCAGCTCTGCGTGTTACTGATGGTGCCTTAGTCGTAGTGGACTGTGTGTCAGGTAAGTTGCATTCAAATGGCTGAATTTTTCTTAGGTGTATGCGTACAAACTGAGACCGTGTTGCGTCAAGCTCTCACCGAACGCATTAAACCAGTGTTATTTATGAATAAGATGGATATGGCGGTCACAACTTTGAGCTGTGAAATGGAGGAGCTATATCAAAAGTTCCAGAGAGTGATCGAAGACGTCAACGTTATCATTTCAGAGTTTGAAACTGCTAATTCTGCAATGGGTGACCTTTCTGTAGATGTAGTAAAAGGGACTGTTGGCTTTGGTTCCGGTTTGCAGAGTTGGGCCTTCACTCTGATGACTTTTGCCAGACTGTACGCCAGTAAATTCAAAATAGAACCCAACAAGCTTGTTGAACGACTTTGGGGTGACAACTTTTATAATACAAAAACAAAAAAGTGGACGAAACAAAAACCAGCTAGTGATGGTGTTCGTGGATTCAATCAGTTTGTACTGTCTCCTATTTACAAGATTTTTGAAACTATCATGAAGAAAACTAAGGAAGAGCAAACAGAACTTCTTACTAAGATGGGAATAGTTCTAAATGAAGCGGAAAGCTCTCTCCCTGATAAACAGCGATTAAAAACAGCACTCCATAAGTGGCTACCAGCCGGTGATTCGCTACTGCAGATGATATGCATTCACCTACCCAGTCCGGTTGCTTCACAACAATACAGAACAGAAATGCTTTACGAAGGGCCTTTAGAAGATGAAGCGGCTATTGCTATGAAAAACTGTGATCCAAAAGGCCCCGTAATGATGTACATTAGTAAAATGGTCCCGACTTCTGATAAGGGTCGTTTCTACGCCTTCGGTCGTGTGTTTTCTGGTACAATCGCCACAGGTCAAAAAGTGAGGATAACAGGTCCTAATTACGTTCCGGGGAAAAAAGACGATCTGTACGAAAAGTCTATCCAACGAACTGTGCTTATGATGGGTCGTTACACAGAAGCGATTGAAGACGTGCCTTGCGGTAACATTTGTGGGTTAGTAGGTGTAGATCAATTCATTGTTAAAACGGGAACAATCACCACATTTGCGGGGGCCCACAATTTAAAACAGATGAAATTTAGCGTCAGTCCTGTCGTACGCGTTGCCGTTGAGTGTCAGAATCCAGCTGATCTACCGAAGCTCGTTGAAGGTCTAAAACGCCTAGCCAAAAGTGATCCAATGGTTCAGGTACGTGGTCACATTTGCTCTTAAATTGTCTTTCTAATTCCAGATAACAACTGAAGAGTCTGGCGAGCATATTATAGCTGGTGCAGGCGAACTGCATCTCGAAATTTGCTTGAAGGACCTAGAAGAGGATCATGCCTGTATTCCTCTGAAAAAGACAGACCCAGTCGTCTCGTATCGTGAAACAGTGACGGAGGAGTCAAGTATACAATGCCTATCAAAGTCTCCCAATAAACACAATCGTCTGTTCATGCGTGCTTGCCCTTTAACAGAAGAACTGGCAGAAGATATTGATGCTGGCAAGGTAAATATTCGTCAAGATTTGAAAGATCGAGGCCGTTATTTAGCTGACAATCACAATTGGGATCCCACGGAAAGCAGAAAAATATGGTGTTTTGGCCCTGAAAACACAGGTCCAAACGTAGTTGTTGATACTACCAGAGCAGTGCAGTACCTAAATGAAATTAAAGACAGTGTCGTTAGTGCGTTCCAGTGGGCAACCAAGGAAGGTGTTTTGTGTTCCGAAAACATGCGTGGTGTTCGTGTTAATCTTGAAGATGCAGTATTACATGCGGACGCTATCCATCGTGGGGGTGGTCAGATTATACCTACGGCACGTCGGTGTTTCTATGCCTGTTTCCTCACTGCAAAACCTGGAATACTAGAGCCTGTTTATTTAGTTGAAATCCAAGGCCCATGTGTTGCGATGGGTGGCATCTACAGCACTCTGAACAGAAAGCGAGCTGTAACAATATCAGAAGAACGAAAATCCGACAGCCCAATGTGCATCATCAAAGCTTATTTGCCTGTTAACGAATCATTCGGTAAGTACTTGATTCTTAACTAATATTGTGTTGCAGGCTTCACAACAGATCTACGTGCTGCGACTGGTGGCCAGGCATTCCCTCAATGCGTCTTTGACCATTGGCAGCCTTACCCTGGTGATCCACTTGACCCAAGCTCGAAACCCGGTCAGGTAGTTTTGGAAACCAGAAAACGCAAGGGTCTCAATGGGGTGTTCCATCTTTAGATTCCTATCTAGACAAATTGTGATACCTTGTATGCATGTACTTTCATCCAGTCTATAAATAAATCAGTGGTTGTATTGGCTTGGCACTCTTTTTGTATTGCATTTGTCTTAACTTCGTAGTGCTAAGTTTAATGTTGTGAGTTAAATTTATTTTGTGATCACCTGTGACACCTGAGAGTTGTGCCGGCAGAATCAAGTAGTAGGATAGTTTACTATCAGTTGTCAGACTAGTTAGTTATTGATAACTAATTTGCCTACCGTTTCTAAGTACATATTTTCTTGTGATAGCTGTTCAGTCAATGGATTCATGGTACCTTCTACAGACTGTTGAGACACTGCAGTGACAAACTGTCTCAGATCAGAAAAAAGCATAGTTTTGAAGATCTGATCGGGACTGCAGTACGTTCAAATGACCAGAGACGAGCATGAGTCGCAGCAGTAGCGAATCTCTGGTTCATATCCATTGGCAAAAATTAGGATGAGCACTTAACAGGCGAAGTTTGGAACTTAGGATAGGCGAAAACCAGTTGTTTATGCTTGTCGGGTGCGCCTAACAAGCATTCAGTCAGTAAGAAGGAGTGGTCGGCTAGTAAGCTGGAGACTTACGATTGCCCCTGGCTATTTCTCAGAATTAGGCAGTGTTTCGTCCCAGCTCAACCGATAGTGGCTAGTTTTTGCGTGGCCAGCAGGTTTGCGCATCATTATGACCGAACAAGCTACAACTGTTGGGACACTAGTTCTTTAGGGTCCTGCCATATCGGAATGGTCAGTTGGTTAGCGGTCAGACAAGTTACCTTGTCGGTCTTAGGCTGGGTGCTGCGAAGATACACTTGTTCGCTGACTCGAAACATTTGGGGACGAGACTCGTGAAAACTAGGAGTTTCATTGGATGGAGTTAGTTCCTAATTATGACTCAGCATAGTGAACATTAGTGATTATGCACTTCCAGTATAACGCTATGTCTGGTATAACAATGACAGCATTCCTTACTGGATAGTGCTTCAAGGACAAATTAATGCTCATAATCACAGCAGAGTAATCAAAGAGCGTCAGACATCTGGCTTTAACTGTTTTGTCTCACTATTTTCTGTTTGATGTGGAGTAAAAATTTCCACATTTCTGGAATAAATATTGTCATTACTACCCATATGTTGTGTACTGGTTTGTTAGATAGATTTAGTAATCTCTCACCATCTAAGTGTATCAACCTTAAGTGCAGCTAATTTGTCGCACCCCTACTGCATGTTTATGTCAGTACATGAATTGTGATAGATGGGTCTTTTGTGGTATAAAACTTAGTGTGCTCTGTTACTCTAAATGTGGCTAAATCCCAGGTTAATAATTGTAGTTTAACTGATCTGCGTATTTTATCTGGTACTTTTATGCATCTCAATTCTCGATTTATATTCTTTGATACATTAGTTTTCTAGCTTTGTTGTTCAAAAGCCATATCAAACTGGCTTTATCTGATATTTGATGCGGTGACCTGAAGCTTACCTGCGTCTTAGAATGTGTTGATTTCTTGTGAACGGCAGTATTTCAATTATCCTCTGTTCCCCGTTTAGTTTTGCAATCCACCATGGTTGATTCTTTTCATTAATTTTCTAACTGGACCGCACCTACCTTAGTATTGAGTTAATATATGTGGAGAAACCATCGATATATTGCGATTTTGATACAGTAAACATGCCATTTATGTTTCTCCACCACACGTCAGGCGCGAGATGAGACGTATGTGTAAAGGCATGTGTTACTAACTACCTATATGTGTTTGTCTGCTACTCCTTCAGTTTATCCATATATCCCTTCTAGAGCTTGGAGATTATGCAGCTGAGACACATTGTAAATATAGCGTGATCTCTTCGATGCATCCCTTAGTCTTATTAGTTCCGGGTCGATAGTTAGCTAATTTATAATTACCTCAAGATCATATTGGTTGGTATATTAGCACACAGGCTTATTACAGTAAAAGTAACCACTTTACTCATCGCTTCCATGTGCTAATGAATTAAATTTGGTCCTGTGATTTGATAGGTTTCAAAGAATACAATACTCCTGGTTAATGCTTGAATAGTTTAGACTACTTTAATATTCGTGGAATTAATCTCTTAATCGAACTGGATGATGTGGTTTACGAACCTTAATAGCACTGTGAGTTCTACTAGGATTATTAGTTGTAAGCATTCACTTTAACTGTTTGGTTTCACACAGAAATAACTTCATTCTGGGTATCAGATCTACTGTAAGTTTCTTGATCTTATTCCTCACAATGTCTACATGTTTCCTGGTGTTCACAAGTCTCTTCTTGTCTTTCTTTTTTATGCGCTGAGGCACATTGTGCTCGAGTGTGTTGAACGGTTGTCGTATTTACTGAGCCTAGCCCTATTTCTATCTTCAGCTTTCAGTTGAATAAAGGCGAAGTTGGAGTCAAGTCTCTTCTCGGTTATGTATGCTTCATTTTCGCTAAAGGCTCTTGGGAAGAGAGAGGCTAATCAGCTCACCACCCCCCTTTTTCCCCATCAATAGTTGATGGTATTCGATTTTTAATCTTGTTGTTTCCAGCGGGATATTTTTCTTCCATTAACTTGTTGAACTTACTGATTTGGGTGTCTGTGAATTTCTCCAACGCAGCTGATCTTGTCTTACTAGATGCTTCTATTGGAAGTTTGACTTTTACTTTGATTATTAGTGTACACTTTACCTGTTCAATCTAACGCCTAACAATACTTAAGTTTCTAACGGTTTTGTGGATCCATTGTTTGATAGAGTCTATTGACATACTCTGTAGCCTTTGTAACCTTCTCGGTTGTTATCCGAGTACGTAGATGAAAGTAAACCAGATGTCGGTTGGAAGGTGTGCAACTGCTTTGATATGATTATAAGAAATGATTCGTGCTCGAAACATCATCCAGCAAGTAATACTGTGTTGTGTGCTGTATCTAGTTAACAGATCATTTGGGATTACATTGTAGCAGTGCGCACTTTTTGCACTTGGGTTACATGCTTTGCTTAATGCGATATGGTGTACACATTCTGGAACACTCAGTTCACTTTGAGTTTGTAATGATTATCCCAGCTGGGCAGCAGAATAATTAGTCATGGGTAAACCTGTACAAAATTAGTTTGTCAGTGGAGACTAACTACTTTTATATTGTCTAGTCGTAAGTGTTGGACGAATCCTGTCGACCGTTTTATAGTGTCACAAAGCTAAACGGCTCAGCAGTACACGGTGTACTCTGATTGATTTTAGATGACTGACTGACTGGAGGGAATCCATACTTGATCAAGGTTTTGTGGTTGCTGACATTAACGAGCAAGGGGTATCTACAATCTCGAAGGAGTTGAAGTATCCCGGGAGATTGGAACTCACATCGCCCAGTACTCTGGGCAGAGGTGTTGTCACTCAGCTGTTTGCACAGCCAACTGGACCTGCCAAGCATGATGTTGTATAGTATATCAGTGTTGAGGATGCTCGAAATGATGAGCGATAAAACTATATAATAGAAAAATAAATGGAGCCTATGTGTAACTAACGTAGTGCTAATGATTTAAGACTAAGGGGGGGGGGTTAGAGAAATCACGCTCCTCATGGATGTGTTGTTTGTTGACTTTAGCAGAGAATCCCAAGCAGAGCTGATAAGCAATGTGGTTTTTTCGCAGATTAGGGAATACCTACACAAGAAGAAGTGGAATATGAGAGTGAAGAGAAAACATTCAGAGGGGAGATCTACAGACTGTGTTGTCGCCCAGGATACTATTCTAGGAACTCCTCTTCCTGCCATGCGCTGATGAATTGCGAAATATGCTAAGGCTATTTGCCGGTGACGTTATGACCAGAAGTATTATTCGTGATTCTCATGAATTGGCTGAATGGTCTAGATGATGGGGCCTGGTATTCAGTTCTGGCAAGACTTGCAATGGACATTGTGTACGAGAACTCTGGTTATTATTCCATGAGTGGAAAACTCACTTTGAAACTAAACGTTAGGTGCTGTTATAAGTCAGAATGTGCAAGCAACAAATCCCTATAGTCTTTATCTAGCGAAACAGTTTTATATGCATCGGCCGGAACACAAGGTATTCAATTTCTTAGCTAAAGACAGATGAAAGACTACACACACCACGTTTGTGAGACCTCATTTGAATCAATGTATAACGGGACCACGCCTGGTTAACTAGTTTACCAGTCACTAGCCGGTACTAAGCCCGGGTAAAGAGGAAAGGTTGGGCATAAGGCTAGCAACCCTACGCCGTAAAACCAATCCAACCGCTAAAGAAACTTCAAAGCACAGACAAAATATAAAAAATGAAAATAAACTTATTCCTCGCTGGAATTGGGGAGACGAAATGACGCCGGTTGGTGAAAGCTTTCGGGAAGCCAATTGGCCTGTGTGTCTTCTCTCGCTCGATGAAAGCGAAAGTAAACATGGGGACGTGGAATGTCCGCACTATGTTTGAACCTAGCAAAGCTGCCCAGATTGCAAAAGAGATGAGGAGGTGTGGCATAGAAGTGCTGGGAATCTGGGAAAGCAGGTGGAATGGAAGTGGACTCCCCAAACTGTCAACTGGAGGGAAGTCAATAATCTACTCCGATATTGTCATCCAGATTACAACCATGAGAACACTGAGTTATGGAGTGGCCATCACGATGTCCCCAAGAACATCGAAGGCTCTCATCAGTGGGAACCAATCTCCCCCCGCAGGATCATGACAGCAAGATGGGTTCTACTCAAAAGGAAGGAAAGTCACGATCGTACAATGCTACGCCGTGCGCCTACAAATAATGCAGATGAAGAGAAGAAGGAGGAATTCCACAGATAACTGCAATCAGCACTGGGCAAGACCTCAGTTGGCGACATCAAAATTCTAATGGGCGACATGAACGCCAAACTGGGAGGGGACAACACAGGAAGAGAACTAACTATGGGTCGAGAAGCACTCGATGAGATGATGAGTGAGAATGGAGGACTGCTTGCAGACTTCTTCGCACATGATGACTT